TAAACTATAGAAGATACAAGTTTACCCCAGGAGAACTGAGGGACACCTCCAAAACAAAAAAGAACTTTCCAAATATCTCTCACTAAGACATATTTAAATAGGGTTATGTGGTCATGTCTTTATGCACAATGTATCATTCTTTTGGTAGCAACTCAATGTCCAGGAACGCAAATGAGCCTATTTCCTTAAATGTTGAACTATTCCTTTTAACTTTCTTGTGTTTATGGACTGCTAAAGACAGTGACTTTTATAGGACAAAAACTAAAAAGCTGAATTATCATATCAAGGTTTTTTAAACCACTGATTTACATTATATATAACATATGAACAAAATTATAATCCTACAAGCTTTTTATTAAAGGATGTCTTCAACTCCAACCCCAAATCTTCTCCAATCAACTTGGTAACATTTTTACAAAAGGAAACACTAACACACACATACAGTACGGCAGAAATCCAATCACCATACAATAAGCCTTAAATACAACATCATCACCAAACAGTCTTCAGGCATTCCAAGCAAAAGCACCCTAAACAATTTGAAACTAAAGATTCAGCTGATAGTCATAGCTTCCAACTACAGACTTCTGTACATATTCTTACATTTGTGAAGGGAAACAAACACTTTTTCACACTGATTCCAGTTTAAGTTTGGAGAGTTGTAATGTACACATCCTTTAGGTTTAGGATATCAGCCTGGACACCGGTCCATTTTGAAGAAAAGAAGCTCAATGATAAGAACACACTGCGGAGGGGATTCCACCCGACGTAGCTAACCCCAATCTGACTGATCAGGTGAGATCTGTCACGTGTGTTCAGTCATTTTGGAGCTGATTCATATCTATAAATATATACATAAATTGATGTATTCAAACATTAGACGTTATGCATATTTTAACAGTTCTTTTATGTTCCTCAAGTTTTAAAACCATTTTTTTAACTGGACAAACAATTTGTGGACAGTGAAGATTTCTTCTGCTCTTGACCACTAGTAAAATTATCTCTTACTGTACCTAAAGAAAGAGCTAAAATAAATCATTGGTGAATCCCATATATCAATGGGCTCTGAAAAAATAAGAACAAAATGTGTAATTGTGTTTGTTTGTAACTTCCTGCATGATGCCCGTCAGACAAATAGTTTATTTGAAGAATAAGACCTTCAGTCTGGGATCCTTAGCCAGCGAACACGTCCAGGGAATGTGTGTGAAAGGCAAACTTTATTTAAAAAGACTGTTTACTGAACGGTATCTGTGTCCTGTAGCTTTTAAGTGCAAACACCAAATCCAGAGTCTAAAGGGGGATGTTCTTCCAATCAGCTTCAGTAGATCATGCACAGTACAGTGAGATAAAATCAATAAATGAATGATAATAATGCAGCCATACGCAAACATTTCCCAAATTGGGATCAATAAAGTACCTATCTATCTATCTATCTATCTATACTCTTAGATACTTGCACCTTAGTGAGCACATGTATTCACTTAATACCAAGCTCATAAAAAACCTGCTCTTTACCAACAGGACTGATAGGCAGGTGGCTCCAGTGCTCCAGAGTAAATGTAATTATATATCACAATCTGGACATCTGGGGATTTCTAATAACACTTTTGGAAAATTGTTTGACAAATTGTCTAAAGCTAAAATGCTTTTGGCTTAGGGGTTAGGGTTAGGGTTCCAGTGATTTAATTACCTGACTAATGAAGGTGTTTCCTTACTGCTCACCTATATCACGAGTAACATCATCTAAAAACTCTCCTGCCCATTGATTTATAAAATATCATAATACCGACACATTCACATCCTTATACATGATGTATATGTTCCCAAACCCTGATTGTACTTAGTAAATCTTCAAGAGTTTACATGAAGTAATACACAGGCCTAAAGCTGAAACCTGAACCCCCCCCTTCCGGGGCAGGTTGACGTCACTAAGTCCAAATGGACCAATTGGTCTAAATCAGGGATGGGCAACTTGGATGGTGGTGGGGGCCACATAATTTATGTACTGGTCACCAGGGGGCCGCAGATTCACTTGGAACACACACAAATTCCATGTATTGTATGTAATTATTAACAAATATACTAAGTCTGACATCTTCATTGACAATCTTTCAGGGAACATCCTCTAATAAGCTCACTAAACAAATATCAGTTCACAGAAATGTTATTTAATTTGTACAAGTGGCATGTTTGTATTGAACAGGTTATTTAACAGAGGAATAAAACTATTTTAAACTATTGGAAAGCACGGAAAATGTGTGTGCATTAAGATTAACCATAAAGATGACATAAACATGAAGTCATGAACACTAACCCAGACATTAGTTGTCTAACTTGAACCTAAGACACTTGTAGCCTGTCACTGCTGACGCACAATAAGGGGAATGTCAACACAGACACCTGTCAACACTCTGCTGTTCCTCAGCGCCGCTCCCCCTCCCTCCCGCTGAAATTATGAATGAAAAGCGTATAGTAATCATAGATAACACGGCAGGGTCCGTGACAGTTTGTTTTCATTTGATTTCAAATTAAAAAAGTCTTGGTTTTTAGAATATTAAACTTGTTTCGCCAAATTCAGATGATAAATGCAACTTTGAAGCTTGTAAAGGCATAATTACAAGCGGTAACTTAACGTCACAGCAGGCATAACAACAGCCGGTGTTTCTTGTGAGTGTTTCCCGGGAAACAAACACAATACACACAAATGCGTCACAGATTATTTCGCGGTATTTGGCTGCCGAACGAAATCATGTACGACGTAACTAGGAGTCTAGTGGACAGTATCAGTACTACAAGTAAAACAATGCAAAATAAATATATATATTTTTTTATTAATTACGTTGTTTATAAATTAATCTGAGGGCTGCAAAAAGAGGAGGTGGGGGGCCGCCCTTTGCCAATCCCTGGTCTAAATGGACCAATCCGCGGAGCTCTGTACACACACACACACGCACACGCACACACACACACACACACACACACACACACACACACACACACACACACACACACACACACACACACACACACACACACACACACACACACACACACACACACACATATCTTTTCTCAGCTCAGACCCCACACAGCAACCAGGAAACGACACCAGTAATCCACCTCCCCCCCAATGGGCGGAGCAGCGAGCCCCGCAACGTCCCGCCAACACGGCACCCAGACCCCACGCAGCATTCTCATCTGTTTGTCATTACTGGTGTCATTTTCTGGTTGCTAACAAACGCCATTGTAAAACATAAACACTGATGTTCAGCTGTAACGGTGGTTGACTAATCAGAACAGAGTGGGCGAGCTGACCAATCAGAGCACAGTGGGCTTATAGGGAGGGGGGGGGGGCAGGAGCTCCAACAAGCCGTGTAGGACAGAGTGAATACACATACTATACAGCAGGGGTCGGCAACCTTTTTGATATGATGTGCCATTAAAAAAATTCATTGTTATCAGCGTGCCAACGATCGAAAATGATCAAGGGGGGGGGGGGGGTGTTGAGGAGCTTGACGCTGGTGAACTATCAACAGGAGGGTGGGGGGAGCCTCGCTGCGGGGAAGCAGTGTGTGGACCTGTCAGCACAACTTACATAATTCCGAATTTAACAAACACATTTAAATAATTGGTTTAAACGGCATAATAATAAGGACGATCGTCCGTTCTGTGATTCTCCAGAACACACATGTTATGATATTAGGGTCATGCAGAGTGAGATGAGATCGCTGTCCCTTTAAGAGAGAGAGAGAGGGGTGTGGCGTGTGCATGTGTGTGTGTGTGGATGGTAGAGCGACAGTGAGGGAGCGTGTGTATGTTTCTGGAAGTGAAACGAGGCAGCAGAAAAACAGAGGTCTGTGATGTATTTTGTGAAACAGAAGAACAGCTAAATAAATGCATCCCAAGAAGAGCTCGCCTCTCTCCAGTCATTTAAGCTAAAGTGGGTTATTGAACCTGAAGCTTGTTGCTTCTGCCCTCCTCGACTACGGTCTGGGAGCCGACAGGAAAGTTCAACACACAGATTGCCAGTCCGCCCCTTTGTAGCATATTATTTCAATGAGAGATGAGCAGATCGCCACTGGGCTTTCAACTAAAGACACAGCCACGCAAAAACTGTGATATTTGTACAGCTCCTTATGGGTACTGCAATTTGTGCTTTCCTCCGTGGTGAAACGATCAGCACTGCACCACGGAGGAAAGCGGCAGAAAGTCACCTGGAGTTCAACAGAGCGGGGCTGCGCTGCGTGCATGGCTTCCTTCTGCATGTAACGGGGAGACGCGCTCTGGCGGCGGTCTCGTTCAGGATCCGAAAATACAATTTAAATATTTTGCACACTTATTCCACTTAATCCTAGTGTGCCACTGGTTACGGTGCCGCGTGCCAATGCTGGCACGCGTGCCAGGGGTTGCCGACCCCTGCTATACAGAGATGCTGTATGAGAAACCAATGTGATTTTGGAACATTGAACAATGTAAATCTATTCTAGTAGACCTCAACCATGGAATTGGCCAAGACATGGGACCTTTAAGTATTAAATGGCCACAACCCTATATTAAAGTGGACCTATCATGCTATATTTGAATAATATAGTGTAGGACCATACCTATATAAGGCATATTTATACTTTTTTTTTCTTCAAAATACCAAACAGATCATGCATTTTAGCCATGCCTCATTTCGCTAAATTTGAAAAATGTTAGCTCTGTTTTTGCAAGGGCTGATTCTGTGAGAACAGCACCATCTACAGGCCTGGCATATGTACTACAGCGTCTCCAGCTCTTTCGAACGGCAATGGCCGTGGCTGTCTCCTCCTGATTGGTGGAGTTGGCCGAATAGCCGTAGCGCCACTGTCCTGACGTCAGGACAGTGTTCAAATCTGGATCAGTTTTTATCAGATCCGTTGCAGCCCCTTTTTTAGAGATTTGGGTATGGAGGAAAATAGAGAGGGTTGTGTTTTCTGACACTTGGTGAGTTCCCTGGAACACCGGGGACACATATTCATGTATAAAAGACGTACAAAAGTGCATTTTGCATGATAGGTCCCCTTTAAGCAACGTGGACCTAGTGTTGTGTTGCCCGGAACCAGGTTATTTATTTCATTAACTCTATGGCAGATAAGGTCCAATTTATCCTTGGAAAATATACATTGGTGACTCTGGATTTTGCACAACGTAAACAAATAAATGTGACATAAAGACGATGTTGAATGTTGGCAAAAAAGCAACTTATCCGACCTGTTAGCATTTTAGAGAAGGTACCCAACACATGAGCCACCATGTTAACACAGCACATTGTTAAAGGAAGTAGATCAGTGCTCTGAGCTGTTTGGTGTGATATTCAGTCTGTGACCATCTATCATGTGACTACTGGTACCAAAGGAACCGTGCTGTGAACATCCACACCAAGGGTTATCTCTCTGCTTTGTACTTCATCAATGTCCCAGGTAAAAGGGCAAAGCAGGAATATGCTATGTGTAGCATTCTAATGAACAATTTGGGAATATTTACCGCTAAATTGCATCTTAGATTTAATCTAAAATCTGTTACAATACTTTACAGCATGGGGTTGGAACTGTTTCATATTTGAACCTGTTAGTATACTGTGTCACATTAAAGTACATCTTTTATGCTCCTGAAGGCTTTTACCAACTTTGTAGTTCTGGTTGCTTTTCAAAACAAATAGACCAATGGTTTCGTTGCAGGCTGCAGTGAGGCTCATGGGAAAGGTGGGCTTGATTTTAAGAAATACTAAATGCTACACATAGCTCCTTTGAAAGAACACATCTCTTATCTCTAAAACTCCAGTGCAAAGCAGCCTAAGATAAACATATCTGCACAGACAGTGTTTGATGCCCTACGATATCCCAGAGAGTTTGCTGGAATGTCTCCAACTGGACCAATCAGAAGAGAGATGTGTAGAAAGAGGAAGGCAAAAAGGGAGATGAGCAGAAATAAATCCTCTCCTCCAGTCTTTCCTCTAATCTCTCTTCATCCATCATTTCTGGTGTCATCTCCTCTCCTCTTCCTCTCTCTCTCCTGTCAGTAGCGTGTAGAGTACCAGTCATTGTCAGTCATCTGCACCAGCTCGTTCACCACGTCCAGCAGGACGAAGTTGTATTTCTTTAACAGCCGCTGGTTCAGTGGCCTGTCCCCGAAACCCATCTCCACCAGCACGGCCATCATGGTTTCCTGGGTGTTCGCATCCACAGGAGGCTGCAGAGAAACAAGAGGCAGTCGTCCATGAATGCTTGGTTATATATAATACTGGTTATATGAAAACCAAATCTCCCATAAACATACGAAGAAAAAAAGGAACCATCCAAGCTTTGGGTTTTTTCCACATGTTGATGCAGAGTGTTCCAACTGTGTGGCTCTACTTTAAACTCTTCTAAACCAAAAATATTGAATATTATATCAAAGAAATCCTGCTTTCCACAAGCATATCCACTGTGATGTGTTGTGTTGTGCCACTGGTTTAATCTTTTAAAATTAAGTTTAGGCTAACATTAGCTGCTCAGTAATGCTCTATTTTTCTATTGTCGTGTTAATACTACACCAGTACCCAGCCACTAGTTTTAAAGACAGATGTTGTGTCTCAAATCGCAGACTTCTGAAATTACTGGAGAGAATGTGAAGGATGGAAAAACGCACTGTGTACTCATAACACATCTTAGCTATGTAGCCGAAGTAGCGTGTTCAGTTGCTGTTGCTATGGAAATCACAGAACTAACTAAGTTATATATGTGTTTTTATTTACTGTTTAAGTAATTTAGCAGCTACACGTGTTTAGAAGAAGCCACTTTTAATTGTTTTGGGTAATTGAGTGGTTTGTAATGATTTGTCACCGCTAACGTTGCTAACTAGCTAGCTAGCTAGCTAGCTAGCTCGTCATTACTAGATTGTCACTTCCTGTGATGGCACAGCAGCCGTTTAAAACAACACTACAGGATCATTAGCACTGCAACAGTGTATGAAATACAGTGGGAATTATCTGAATTGAGACAGCAAGAATTATATCTGCTAAAGTGCCCCTAAAATAAATGAGAGTGTCTCTCTGCAGCCAATGTTGTCTAATGTGATGCGCATAGGTTATCAATAATTTACAGAAATAGGAAATGAAAAAAAAGTTTTAAAAAAGGACCGGATTGGCCTTTGTATTGGCAGATATCTGATACTGAAGGACTTGGATAGGGATCATGACCACTCCTAGTTTAGCACTTTACGGCCCGTCCACACGGCGGCGTGCGTTGAAACTTCAACGCTTCTGCCCATTCACTTTGAATGGGGTGACGTCACGCTTTGCCGAACTGCATTGTGGGAGCGTTGCTTCGCTTTGCTCGCGTTGCATCAAAAGTTGAGCAATGTTCAACTTTTGAAGCTTCGGCGGAAGCGTCAGCCAATCAAATCATATGCCAGTACAAGCTCTAGCCAATCAAACCGCGTGCTTGTGTGTCCGGGGCGGGAGATTCATGTGATTGGCTGTTGGTCGAGTTTCAGACAAGCTCACCGGCAAGCTTCAACGCACGCCGCCGTGTGGACGCTGCGTTAGGGACTTCTCAACAACATGAGGTATGACATCAGATGCCTGGTGTAATCTGACCTGTGTGGGGCCTTGTCCAGTGAACAGAGCTTTGTAGGCAGAGGCAGCGACGGACAGCGCTCCCTTCACCAGGCCGCTGGTGATGCCTGGGTGCCTGAGAGGGGACAATGAAGAGGTTATGTCCAAAACGTGACTCCCTTCTGACAGCCATGGCAACAACTTCAACCAGCCTTCCTACAGAAAACAATGATGTATTTAACTAGAAAAGCAGCTATCGTGACTGGACAGGTCTTATAAGAGAACTGACACCCCCTTTTCCACTGAAACGAGCTCCGTTCTATTTCCCTGTTGCGGCTGGTTTGGATCGCAGTTGGTTCAACATGCAGAACACTTAAGAACCAGTTTGCTGTTGCACCAACCAGAGCCAAGAGGAGCCACGTCATGATGTCTCTGCTTATGTGGCTGCAATGCCCACAGGAGTTTCTGTCACAAGAACAATGATGGTGGACTCTTTTTGGACTGGGCTCATGTTGCTCTTTGACCTACAAAACCAGATTTAATCGCAAGCACAACTTCTCAAACGTTATACTGTTCTCCAGAATTATGTGGCTCATTGTTTTTTCACTTACATTAATGAATAATCGTAATAATCATGATGCCTATGCAACAATTATTGTAATGGTAATTTCAGACAGAACCATGCAGGAATGTGTATTCAGCAGATCTACATGTAGATGCGTTTCACTTTCCTTAAAGGTAGGGATGGGTACCGAGCCCCGGTATTAAACGGGCCCCGGGGGTGAATTATTAAAGACCGTGGTACCGTTAAGCTCCGACGTTATCGGTCTTTTTATCGGTACTGGAGACATGTAAAAAATATGTCATGTGTATTATTGCTACACAAACATTATATTGCAGTTTTAGTGTCGCCAACTCCGTTTCTAACATGCAAAAAGACTGCAAAATGCGTCATTTTTAGTATTTTCGATCTCTCCAATCCAGACGAGAGATCTCTCTCTTCCCCGCCTGCTTGCGAGGGGGCGGGGCAGTTTACACACACGCAGCTGCTACATGCAGCAACACACACACACGGAGGAGATGGCGGAGAGAACTAAGCGCTCCGAGGTGTGGTTAAACTTTACCCGTCTCGCTCGTTGCCTAAAGTGCAATAAGAGTTTAGCATGTAAGGGCGGTAACATGAGCAATTTGTCTAAACATCTTGCAAAAGTGCACCACGTTCAGACGGAGAAATGCACCGTTTTCGACTGTCTTTCTAGTAGCTCTGTAGCCCCATCCACGAGTAACGTTTCCACGTCAGGTATATTATGTATGCTAGCAGCAACACACGGAGCTAACTCAATGATACAAACATGGGTTAATGATTAGAGGTAACCGAGTTATTTATTTTGTTAAAGTTTCAGCTATTCTGTTTACAGTTCTGTCATCAGATTATTTAATATGATTTGTTAAAACATTGTTGTTTCTTTTGATGTGAAATATTATGATAATTAATAAAAAGCAATGTTAGTTTTGTTCACAATTTGTTTATTTTCATTTTTCATTTAATCGTTTATTTGAATAGGGACAATGCACATTAATGAACACTTTAGACAAATAATGCTTCAAGTGTAAATATGCCGGATTTTTAGCTTTGAGCTAATTTCCATCCGTAGTCCCTGACATACAACATATAGTTAGTTTACCTCATTTTTCTCTCCAAAAGAACCGATAAAAGTACCATTAAAAGACCGGACCGATAAGCGGTATCGATAAAAGTAGTAGTACCGTTAAAACCTTAACGATACCCATCCCTACTTAAAGGTGGGGTAGCTAATTTTGGAGAAACCAGCTCGAGTGCGCTAGAATTTGAAAATACACAGCCGGAAAAAATCTGCCACTTCCTTACAGAGCCCCTCCTCCAACACACACAAACGCGCACATGACCAATGAGGGCACGAGATAAGTTTGTGCACAGATGGAAGGCTGACAGGCAGGTAGGCCATCCAGTTATTTTAGCCGGCCCGGCTAAAATGATTGGTTGTGCTTTTTACAGTACTACGGCTTCCACAGATGACATTTTGTTATGGATTTTTTGTCAAAGCACTTAAGAAATTCATTGCTATCGGGATGTTAAGAGCATTCCATGGAATATAACAAAAAGTGTATCTCGAGCCGCTTTCTCAAACTTACCTGCCCCACATTTAAGCTAGTTTGTAATTGAAAATGGCACCTTGAAAAGTCACGGAAAGATTTAAATATTTGAAAAGATGTGTATATAATATCTCAATATCAAGATGTAAATTAATCCAAGTTTAATTGAACTATTCTATAAATGTTATATTTGAAACAGATAAATGGGAGTGGTGGGGTTACGCCTGGGCATCATGAATAGCCCTACTTATCTTAATATAAAAATCATCATACTGGTGTTATAGAGTGGCGAAGTCACGCCCATCTACTTCCGGTCCATGGGACCTTATTTCGGAAAAGTTATGTATTGAAGTCAATGGAGAGAGAAAACGTATCTTTCGATCCCGTTTAAATTGTGCCATGAATTACACATATGATGTTTGTCAATCTTAAAAAATCATTTCCATGTCAAAAAAGTCACAGTTTGTCGTAAAACTGTTGAAATATAAGACTGAAAAATACACAACTAGAAAGACTACAAATCCCAGAGTCGCGTAAGTGATGTCACTCATAACTGATGTCACAATTGTTTTCCTCCACTAAAATAGAGATAGCTAAGATAAGATAACTTTAACAAGATGCCTGTGTGCTTAGTACCAGGTTGTTATCATACCAGCAATGGGTCTTGCTCGTTCTTTCGCTTCCCGTCTGATGAAAGGACCAGGAGTGGCTGGATCAAGTTAGCTACCTAGCTAGTAGCAAGCACGTTAGTTAGCATTACAGCCGGCTTAGCCTTGTCATTTTTATTAGCCTTAACATGAAGTAACATTAAGTAACCCAAAATGTTAAACAGTAAGATTAGTGTTCATATTTCGTGAACCCTTTGAAGAGTACTGTCACACCGGTGTGATCATTCTATAATACACCATTTAAGCCCTGGGGAGAAATGCTAACGCTAACGCTACATTAGCTTCGGCGATCTTTTCTACTTCATGCTATCTGCACAAATGGTTGACATTAAACATTAAAAAGATCAGGCAGTTCAGGGAGAATCAAAGGAAGGCAGGCAGGCAGGCAGGCAGGCAGCTTTGCATGACATTCTTCTGGACGTGTTTCATTGTGGTGATAGTGAGGGTATTCAATCACTTTTTTGACAAGACAGTAGTGACGGCCATCTTGGTGACGTGTATTGTTGTGCAAGAGATGTAGTTCATTGATTTTCTTTGACTTGCAAAATTATCTTTTAAATTGACAAACATCATATTCGTGGCACAATTCAAACGGGATCGAAAGATAATCTTTCTCTCTCCATTGACTTCAATACATATTTTTTCCGAAATAAGGTCCCATGGAGGTCCACCGGAAAGGGAGGGACTTCGCCACTGTATATAGAAAGGGATTTAAAATATTGCGATATACTGTATATCATGTATCGCAATATATGTTACGGTTTTGTATTTATGTTTTCATTTTCCACCTTAGTTTTGAAATGTTTTCCTCCTTGTGTCTTCTCTGTTCCTTCTTCCTGTGTTTGCCTTCCTGTCATTAGTTTCCCTGGTGTGTCTGATTGTGTTCACCTGTTGCCCTTGTGTTTCTGCCTGCCTTACCCCAGCTGTGTCTTGTCTTGTGATTACCCCTCTCTGTATTTAGTCTTGTCTTCCCCTGTGTGCCTTGTCGGTTCATTGTTGGTTTTTCCTGTCTCCCTCCATGTTGGTCACGATTATTCCTAGTGCTACCCTTGTTATCCATGCCATGTTTTTTTGCTCATCAGCTTTGTAAATAAAGCTAATTTTTTGTTTCTAGACCTGTTACCTCTTTTTGTAGTCTGCAGTTGGGTCCTACCTTTTCCACGCTACCTAACAATATAGCCTAAACATATAGAGATATCATTTTTAGGCTATATCTCCCAGCTCTAGTTCCACTGACGTTTCCTCACGCCATTTGCCGCTTAAATTATGAATTCACTTTTTGACCGGTCGCTGATGCATATTTCCCCATAAATGTAAATGTTTTGGTTGTTGAGCAAATAAAGGGTGGCCGAGTTAAAACAATTTTCATTGGTTGAGAGCTGGCGCAGCTCCAAACTGGCCCTGGAACTGCTTTGGTGGAAAAGGGTTAACAGAGTCCAAATAGGAAAATATCACAGCTCATAAACTGTGTGTATGGTGGTCAGTACACCCACTGAAATGACTTCATGTAAGCTCGGGGCCTTGATGCAACCAGCATTATTCAAACTGCTGATACTTAAAGTGGATCTATCATGCTATATTTGAATAATATATTGTAGGGCCATACCTATATAAAACATGTCTGTGAAATATTTTTTTCAAAATACCAAACAGATCATGCATTTTAGCCATGCCTCATTTCGCTCTATTTGCTGTATTCCAGCCCTGTTTTTGCAAGGGCTGATTCTGTGGCAAATGAGCTGCAGCTGACCACGCCCCCCTGCAAAGGAGGGGGGCGAGGCACGAGCGTCATGTTACCATGCTGTTACCATGCTGATACCATGCCACGGCAACCTCTCATTCCCCTGATAGGTGGAGAGTTGCCCATATAGGCGGAGCTCCCTGTTTCTGACATCAGAACAATTTCAAATCTGTATCAGTCTGTATCAGCTCCATTGCAGCCCCGTTTTTAGAGATTTGGGTATGGAGGAAAAGAGAGAGGGTTGTGTTTTCTGACACTTGGTGAGTTCCCTGACACACCGGGGACACATATTCATGTATAAAAGACGTACAAAAGTGCATTTTGCATGATAGGTCCCCTTTAATATATATGCTTGCTTTAGTGTGTGTGTGTGTGTGTGTGTGTGTGTGTGTGTGTGTGTGTGTGTGTGTGTGTGTGTGTGTGTGTGTGTGTGTGTGTGAGACCTGGGGTCCTCAGGGTTGTCCTCCTCGGTGTCTCCAGTAGCTTCAGTATCATCAGTCTGTTCAGGACCGGATGCTGTGGCACAACGATACATCATATTATAAAAAATATAGCATACACATGTTCTCATTTACAGCATATCTCTCCACATTTCCACATGTGGTCAGAGCAGGACCTTTCACACCTTTCATTGTGAACAACCAGGTCGTACATTGGATCTGGTTTCTTATTGCAAATATGCGAGCTCACTGTAAAACTCTACTTTATATATCCATCTGTAGCCAGGGACTGACAGGCGAGTAGGCTTCTGTGAGATGATGAATGAATATAGCAAAATGAATGGAAAGACTAATTTGTTGGCCGTATAATATTATTTAAAGACCTCTCTACTACCACTGCCCGTTATCGCAGATTATTGATCTTCATGTGGCATTAATATCATGTGAAATTCATCTAAACCTTTGTGAACCAAATGTTCCTTTCCCTGGCCACATCAACCAGCTCTGACTGGGGGATCCCAAGGCGCTCCCAGGCCAGCGCAGAGATATAATCCCTCCACCTGGTCCTAGGTCTACCCCTTGGTCTCTTCCCAGCTGGACGTGCCTGGAACACCTCTCTAGAGAGGCGCCCAGGTGGCATCCTTACTAGGTGCCCGAACCACCTCAACTGGCTCCTTTCGACGCGAAGAAGGAGCGGTTCAACTCCGAGTCCCTCCCGGATGACTGAACTTCTCACCTTATCCCTAAGGGAGACGCCAGCCACCCTGCGGAGAAAACCCATCTCGGCCGCTTGTATCCGCGATCTCGTTCTTTCGGTCATGACCCATCCTTCATGACCATAGGTGAGGGTAGGAATGAAAATGGCCCGGAAGACAGAGAGCTTTGCCTTCTGGCTCAGCTCTCTTTTCGTCACACCGGTGCGGTAAAGCGACTGCAGTACCGCTCCCGCTGCTCCGATTCTCCGGCCCATCTCATGCTCCATTGTTCCCTCACTCGAGAACAAGACCCCGAGATACTTGAACTCCTTCACTTGGGGTAAGGACTTATTCCCTACTTGGAGTGGACAGTCCATCGGTTTCTTGCTGAGAACCATGGCCTCCGATTTGGAGGTGCTGATCCTCATCCCATCCGCTTCACACTCGGTTGCGAACCGATCCAGTGAGTGCTGAAGGTTGCAGACCGATGAAGCCATTAGAACCACATCATCTGCAAAAAGCAGTGGTGCAATCCTTAGTCCACCGAACTGCAGACCCCCTCCCCCACGACTACGCCTCGAAATCCTATCCATGTATATTACAAACAGGATTGGTGACAAAGCGCAGCCCTGGCGGAGGCCAACCCTCACCGGAAATGCGTCCGACTTACTGCCGAGGACCCGGACACAGCTCTCGCTTTGGGAGTACAGAGATTGGATGGCCCTGAGTAGAGACCCCCTCACCCCATACTCCTGCAGCACCTCCCACAGTAACTCCCTGGGAACCCGGTCATACGCCTTCTCCAAGTCTACAAAACACATGTAGACCGGATAAGCGTACTCCCAGGCCCCCTCCAGGATCCTTGCGAGAGTAAAAAGCTGATCCGTCGTTCCACGACCAGGACAGAATCTGCATTGTTCCTCCTCAATCTGAGGTTCGACAATCGGCCTGACCCTCCTTTCGAGTACCTTAGAGTAAACTTTTGGAATAAATAAGTTCCCACTACAAACAAACTGAATGATGGACTAATTTGATCTCACTAAGTCTGTGTCTTTTGGTCAGAAAAAGGTTTGGCTGTGTATCCGGACCATAGCCTGGGGCAGGTTCCTCACCTGTGTTTCAAATCTAACTTAAACTCCTGACGGACAGGGCTCGTGTGAGGGGCCTTCTTGTTATTTCATGAGGACACAGGGATATGCTTACCGCCCTCAGTTCGGTACAGTTCAGAGCCGTCTGCTCCTCCCTCAGCAGCAGCTGGCTCAGCATCTCTCTCTCCACTGCTCTCCGGACTGCACAGCATGAAGAGCAACACATTTTCAACAGGTTATATCAACTGTAACAAACTCCAAGTCACCCTTAAACATTTTTCAAACAAAATAAAAAAACAAATGCTGCACATTTTCAAACTAAAGCTGAACTGGAACATCGAAAATACCAATGCACATAATGAATCTGCAAACCTATTGTTTTGTAAAACTAGGACTTCTTTAACCACATAGTCAACAATAATGGCTAACATTAGTGCTTGTAACAACAGACCTGAGCACTACACTTCAACAGTGAATAACAATGCTGCCTTTTAAAGTTTCTAAAAAACAAAATATATTTTGGGGGGAGTTGATCTCAACCCTTATGTAAAATGTAATAGATTATGGATGTTGCGTATTTTTGTTCTCAAGTATGGTTTATCATATGATATTTTTATACTTGGCGAAGGTTGATCTAAGCCAGGGGTCTGCAACCCCTGGCACGCGTGCCACCATTGGCACGCGGCACCGTAACCAGTGGCACACTAGGAATAAGTGGAATAAGTGTGCAAAATATTTAAATTGTATTTTCGGATCCTGAACGAGACCGCCGCCAGAGCGCGTCTCCCCGTTACCTGCAGAAGGAAGCCATGCACGCAGCGCAGCCCCGCTCTCTTTAACTCCAGGCGACTTTCTGCCGCTTTCCTCCGTGGTGCAGGGCTGATCGTTTCACCACAGAGGAAAGCACTTCACAAATTGCAGTACCCATAAGGAGCTGTACAAATGCCGCAGTTTTTGCGCGGCTGTGTCTTTAGTTGAAAGCCCAGTGGCGATCTGCTCATCTCTCATCGAAATAATATGCTACAAAGGGGCGGACTGGCCATCTGTGTGTTGAACTTTCCTGTCTGCAACAAGCTTCAGGTTCAATAACCCACTTTAGCTTAAATGACTGGAGAGAGGCGAGCTCTTCTTGGGAGGCCGTTGCATTTATTTAGCTGTTCTTCTGTTTCACAAAATACATCACAGACCTCTGTTTTTCTGCTGCCTCGTTTCACTTCCAGAAACATACACACGCTCCCTCACTGTCGCTCTACCATCCACACACACACACATGCACACGCCACACCCCTCTCTCTCTCTCTTAAAGGGACAGCGATCTCATCTCACTCTGCATGACCCTAATATCATAACATGTGTGTTCTGGAGAATCACAGAACGGACGATCGTCCTTATTATTATGCCGTTTAAACCAATTATTTAAATGTGTTTGTTAAATTCGGAATTATGTAAGTTGTGCTGACAGGTCCACACACTGCTTCCCCGCAGCGAGGCTCCCCCCACCCTCCTGTTGATAGTTCACCAGCGTCAAGCTCCTCAACACCCCCCCCCCCCCCCTTGATCATTTTCGATCGTTGGCACGCTGATAACAATGAATTTTTTAATGGCACATCATATCAAAAGGTTGCCGACCCCTGCTGTATAGTATGTGTATTCACTCTGTCCTACACGGCTTGTTGGAGCTCCTGCCCCCCCCCCCCTCCCTATAAGCCCACTGTGCTCTGATTGGTCAGCTCGCCCACTCTGTTCTGATTAGTCAACCACCGTTACAGCTGAACATCAGTGTTTATGTTTTACAATGGCGTTTGTTAGCAACCAGAAAATGACACCAGTAATGACAAACAGATGAGAATGCTGCGTGGGGTCTGGGTGTTGTTAAATTCGGAATTATGTAAGTTGTGCTGACAGGTCCACACACTGCTTCCCCGCAGTGAGGCTCCCCCCGCCCTCCTGTTGACAGTTCACGATCGTCGGCACGCTGATAAACAAATTTTTTTGTAATGGCACTTCATATCAAAAAGGTGGCCGACCCCTGATCGAAGCCTTTTCCAAATGCTGTTCCAGAAGCCTGCAGCTGAAGCAGCACATGAAGCAGCTGTGTTTGTACCACACCCCTCAGACTGACCTCGGGGTGACGGTGGTCAGGGGGGGTGCCACCACTTCAGGCGTCAGCGGCTCGTCGTCCAGCGTCTGGGACGTGCAGAGCATGTCGTTGGCGCTGCTGTTCCCCGACACTGCCTCCCCTAGCCCCCCCTGCTCCCCCTCTGGGGCGGGGGGGCCCGGTTGGTCGGGCGATGGAGTTTCTGGGTCTGTGGGGGTCTTAGCTGGGATGTCACCAGGCTGGGACAAGGCTGAACTGCAATGAAACAGAAAATTAAAGGAATTAAACAGAATGTGACAACATGCAGCCCGAGGTTGCCACCGGAAGTCCTTGTCTACTAAAATAACATTTGAACCCTTAAATGGTTTGTGCATCCTGGGAGATACAGTCATTTGACAGGCTATGTACATGTGTAAAATGGGTGTAATTACGATGTAATAGGGTGTAATGCCAGTGTAATATGGGTATGATTATGTGTAATATGGGTGCAATAGATACAATCGGAAGATGAAACCCTCTTTAATGGTCACACATACATGCACACAGCACACACAGCAATTTGACCTCTGCATTTAACCCATCCTAGTTCTAGGAGCAGTGGGCAGCTATTGTATAGCGCCCAGGGAGTACTATGGGTGTAATAAGGCAGTACTTCCGGTATAATAATGAATTACTAACGGTGTAATACAGGTGGCTGTATTAGGACTATTGTAATGTGTAATATGGGTGCAATGAAGAAAATACCAATCAATATGTGATTGCCCATTTAGGGTCAAATAACATGGTTCTTATATTAACAAGTTTTGTCAATTGCTAAAACCTTTTTTAATCAAGTTAATCACAATAACAATCTGTGATTAAGCATGATTTATAACAAGTTTTAGAAACTAGTAATGACTTAGTAATTATGGTAGGAAATTTTGGTTGAACTAGGTTTCCAGATGAATGGCGAGCCTTAACGCTGACGGCCCTAATATTTCATATTTATACATCCTGTTTCTGAAGTGCAAAGGGACCGGTACCTGTACATGGACTCCCCCAGGGGCCGGCTGGTGTCGAAGCAGTCAGGGAGGATGATGATGTAGTCCTCTGAGGAGGTAGAGGAGGAGCGGCTCCTCCTGCCCTCTCTCTTCTCCTCTCTTTTCTCCTTCTCCTCCTCCGACCCCTTCTCTCTCTCCTTCACCCTGGACTCCATGTCGGCCTCCGCAGCTTCAGCTGTGTTGGGATTAACAAAACTGATCAGTCTCAGACTATAGTTACCATACAGCGCTACAACTTTCTGCAGGATTGCAATCTCCCAAGACTTTTAAAACTCTTTTTACAAGATTATGGCTATATGAAATAATGTCAAGATCCAAAAGGCATATTTCATATTGTTACTTCAGTTGTGACTCAGTATACTAGGAGCCACTTGAACAGTTTATGCCAAACCCCAGCTGTAACGCTACCCTCCTAACAACTCACTTTCAGAAAGAAAAGAAAGAAAGACATGTTTTGCTCTAAAAGTAAAAAGTAAAAAGCAACACAAATTCACCAGGTGGCCGCTGAAGCAACCAGTCTAATGCTGCTGACCACACAGCTCCTGCATGCATTGTTGATGTACACAACCTAGGGCTGTGCAATTAATCGTATTTTAGCTTGCAGCGATTACGAAAACAACGTAATCGAAATAAAACTATTATTTTGCTGCGTGCGCTTTCGCCCCTCCCTTAAAGCCCTCTCGGCCAGGTTGTGAGTGACATTAGTTATGTGAGTTCAGCGCGAGTGAAGATGGCAGAACAAGAGCAACTCGTGAACAAGAAAGGTAACACGAATTTCACTGTTTGGAAATACTTTGGGTTTAAGGAGTCCGACGTGGAACAAAAAAAAGTACAGTGCAGCAGGGGCTGCTGGAGAATCACAGACGGCCGCCCCCCCGTTGACAGTTCAAGAGCGTGCCCCCTCGACTTCATCCACCACATCAGTCATCAATTAAGGACGCGCTTTACAGTGCAACGGCCTACTCAACCAGCTCGCAAAGACACAAATATATAACAGATGCCATCACATTCTACATAGAATGCAGAGAGTTAACTAATTAAAGGGGCGTGGCCCCACAGCTGTGACAACTCAGCAATCAGGACTGGTGTCCATTTTAGGCAGCACTTTCCTGGAGCGTCAGCTTCAGTGTCAGACAGATGAAGACTGACAAAGACAATAGAGTCCTGCGGGAGTCTCTAAGACTGACAAAGACAATAGAGTCCTGCGGGAGTCACGAGGGACGCAAAGAGGAGGCAAATCCTACTTTGATTGAGCTAAGTATCGCTGGTGTTTTTTAGCCCCTCATGCTAAAACATGTGTATATTCTCCATTCCTGTTCATGTGTCTTCTCACAATTATTACGGGCCCCGTATATCTCCTAATTGTTATAACCGGCCTGCTCTCGTCTATCCCACATGCTCCACTGAGATCCAACAGGTTAGATGCCGCCTATCACAGTGCTCTGAGATTTGTTACTAACTGTAAAGTACTTACTCATCACTGTACCCTGTATGCCAAGGCAGGTCTGCCTTCACTTACTGGTCGGAGGCTCAGTCATTGGTACATGTTCATCTACAAAGCCATGCTGGGTAAACTACCTTCTTATATCTGCTCTTTGATCTCACGGACAGTGGCAAGTAGCTATTGCCTGAGATCACAGGATGTGTTTTTATTACATGTGCCAAGTGCTAGGACTGTTTTAGGTGCTAAAGCTTTTATGTGCGCTGCTCCTCTGGCTTGGAACACCATGCAAAAAATATTGAAACTGAGCATTTTGATTCCCTTGCATCGTTTTAAAGCACGGCTGGATGAAATATTATTGGATACCTGTAAATGTAAATAGGTTGCTAATGTATACCCCTGTAATTATGTTGTGATGTCCTTTTGTTTTCTGTTTGTTTTTATATGTGTAACTAAATGTGCCGCAGGTCTCCCTTGTAAAAGAGATCGTTGATCTCAATGGGATTTTTTAACCTGGATAAATAAAGGCTACAAACAAACAAACAAACAACAGCTAGTTACAGGTGGCCTGTGGAACTGCCAGTCAGCTGTTCCTAAGGCTGACTTCATTTCTGGCTACGCTTCCCTGCAGTCTCTGGATTTCCTTGCTCTCACTGAGACCTGGATTACACCATCCAACACATCCACCCCAGCAGCTCTTTCCACAGCATATTCCTTCACCCATACACCCAGACCCACTGGCAGAGGAGGTGGCACTGGTCTCCTGCTCTCTCCCAAATGGAGCTTTTCCCTCTTCAAGCTACCTAACTTCACTCCTTCCACCTTTGAATTCCATGCCGTTACTGTAACCCATCCTATACAATTAACCATTGTTGTTCTCTAACGTCCACCAGGCGCCTTGGGGGACTTCTTGGAGGAATTAGATAATCTCCTCTCACACATCCCTGAAACTGGCCCTCCCACTGTACTTCTCTGAGACTTTAACCTCCAGACAGAGAAGATATCTGAACTAACATCTCTTTTAACCGCCTTTGCTTTCTCACTGTCTCCATCACCACCAACTCATAAAGCTGGCAATGTCCTTGATCTCATATTCTCAAGGAACTGCACTACTTCTAACCTCTCTGTAAACCCGCTTCACACATCCGATCACTTCTTCATATCATTCTCTCTACCCCTTTCCAAACATAACAAACTAATCTCTTCTAACTCTGCACCTGTCCGCCGTAACGTTCGTTCCCTCTCCCCCTCTACTCTTACCTCATCGGTGCTCTCAGCCCTCCTTTCCTCTGACTCGTTCCAACTCCTGCCTCCAAACTCTGCTGCAGAAACTCTCCTCTCGACTCTTTCATCCTCTCTGGACTCTCTCTGTCCTCTCACATCTCGGCAGGCTCGTCAGTCCCCTCCTGCTCCCTGGCTAAATGACGCACTGCGTGCTAATAGAACCATCCTTCGGGCAGCTGAGCAGAAATGGTGGAAATCCAAACACCATGACGACCTCCTAACCTATCAGGCTCTCCTCTCCTCTTTCTCTGCTTCGATCTCTCAGACAAAAAGCACTTTCTTTCAAGATAAGATCCATTCTTCCTATTCCAATCCCAAAAAACTATTTTCTATCTTCTCCACCCTCCTCGAACCCCCCAGAGCCCCTTCCCCCTCCTTCCTTCTTCCAAGCGACTTTGTTAACTACTTTGAAAAAAAGGTTGATGATATTCGCTCTTCTTTTTCCGACTCACCATTACTCACCACTGGGTCACCAGTCCCACCGTTCACCCACACACTAACCTCCTTTTCCCCTCTCTCTCCAAGTGAGGTTCTTACCATCATTACCTCTGCCCGTCCTACCACTTGTCCTCTGGACCCTATCCCCTCAAACCTCCTTCAGACTATCGCTCCTGATATTCTACCGTTTCTCACCCATCTCATCAATACTTCTCAACTTCTGGTCACTTTCTAAACAGTCTCAAGGAGGCAAGAGTAAACCCTCTCCTAAAGAAACCCACTCTCAACCCGTCCGATGTTATAAACTACAGGCCTGTCTCTCTCCTCCCATTCCTGTCTAAAACACTTGAACGCGCTGTCTTTAAACAACTCTCCTGTTATCTCCATCAGAACAACCTTCTTGATCCACACCAGTCTGGTTTCAAGGCAGGTCACTCTACAGAAACTGCTCTCCTTGCTGTCTCTGAGGAACTGCACACTGCTAAAGCAGCCTCCCTCTCCTCTGTCATCATCCTTTTGGACCTGTCAGTTGCATTCGACACGGTGAACCATCAGATCCTCCTTTGCACTCTCCAAGAACTTGGAGTTTCAGGCTCTGCACTTTCCCTCCTCACCTCATACCTCAAAGACCGCACCTACAGGGTAACTTGGAGAGGGTCAGAGTCTGACCCTTGTCAATTAACTACAGGGGTCCCTCAGGGCTCTGTTCTTGGTCCCCTCCTCTTCTCTCTGTACACAAACTCGCTCGGATCGGTCATTAGCCCGCATGGTTTTTCATACCACTGCTACACTGACGACACCCAATTAATTCTGTCTTTTCCCCGTTCAGAAACCCAGGTCGTCGCACGCATCTCTGCTTGTCTAGCAGACATCTCTCAGTGGATGTCTGCTCACCACTTCAAGCTAAACCTTGACAAGACTGAACTGCTTTTTCTTCCGGGAAAAGAGTGTCCCACCCTTGACCTAACAATCAACATCGGCACCTCTATTGTTTCCCCGACTCAGACTGCAAGGAATCTGGGTGTGACCCTAGATAACAACCTGTCCTTCACTGCAAACATCACTGCTACAACCCGCTGCTGCAGATACACCCTTTACAACATCAGGAGGATACGTCCCCTCCTGACCCAGAAAGCGACGCAACTTTTGGTCCAGGCTCTCGTCATCTCACGCCTAGACTACTGCAACTCCCTCCTGGCTGGTCTACCTGCATGTGCCATCCGACCTCTGCAGCTCATCCAGAATGCAGCGGCTCGTCTGGTCTTCAACCTTCCAACATTTTCCGACACCACACCGCTCCTCCGCTCCCTTCACTGGCTTCCAGTAACTGCTAGAATCCACTTCAAGACACTGGTACTTGCGTACCATGCTGTGAATGGATCTGGCCCTTCCTACACCCAGGACGTGGTTAAACTGTACACCCCAGCACGTGCACTCCGCTCTGCATCAGCCAAACGGCTCGCTGCACCCACACTGCGAGGGGGACCCAAGTTCCCATCAGCAAAAATACGTCGGTTTACTATCCTGGCTCCAAAATGGTGGAATGAGCTCCCCATTGACATCAGGACAGCAGAAAGCTTACACATCTTCCGGCGCAGACTAAAAACTCATCTCTTTCGACTCCACTTCGAGCAATACAATTACTAACAAAGCACTTATATACTAATAAAGGACTGGCTTATCTAAAGCTAGTTGAGTAGCACTTGAAATGTTTTGGCTCTATGAAACCTGATGTACTTATATGATTCTGTTTTCTTCAAGTGTATATCTTCTTGGTCGAATGCACTTATTGTAAGTCGCTTTGGATAAAAGCATCACCTAATGCAATGTAATGTAATGTAGACATGTGCCCAGTTAGCACGGTTAGCAACCAGGGGTTTAAGCAACTGGTTAACAACTGGTTAACACTATGGACAACTGGTTAGCACTATGGACAAGTGTTACGCAATGCCATCTCGGCATCATTTCACCAGATAGGCACTGCCTGCCCTATATGAGAAATGCCGGGGGGAAGTTGAAAAAGATGTGGCTTCAGCTGAATACTTTGCAGTTGAATTATACTAAAAGTGCACCTATCATGCTATTTTTAGGCAATAGCATAGGTCTCAGATATATACAAATATATAAAAAACATGTCAATAAAGTGTTTTGCTCAAAATACCAAACAGATCACCCATTCTAGCCATGCCTCATATCCCTCTATTTCACTTCCTGTTTCAAAAGTGCTGATTTTGGGTATAAAGCTTTAAAAAAGAAAAATTTGATAAAAAAGAAAAAAGGAGGAGGCTGAGCTCATGCGGGACCCGGCAGCTACTGTCTAAACTAAATACTGCCGTGATGAAACATTTTATTGATTTATATGATTATTTCTGAAACAGTATGGAGCTCAAAGGCTTTCTCTCTTGCCGGTTATACCACAAGGTGAGTTCCTTTTTATTTCCTGCTTCTTCACACACATGCTCTGTGTAGTACAGGTTAGCTCTGAGTGTTAGCGATGCTAATGTAAACACCGACCATATTACGTCCAAAACAGTCGGGCATTGTTTCTGATAGCAACTTTCTGATAGTGCCGTGGGTCCACATTTCCGATATTACGTCATATCGGACGCAAATCTGGATCAGCTCCGTTGTACCCCCGTTTTTAGAGATTTGGGTACGGAACAGGAAAAGAGAGAGGATTTTATTTTCTGACGCTGCGTGAGTTCCCTGACACACCGCGGACACATATTTATGTATAAAAGACATAAAAAAGTGCATTTTGCATGATAGGTCCCCTTTAAAGTTCAGGGTAATCAACTGTTCCTGTTAAGCCCCAAGCCTGTTTTTCAGGTCTCAGGCTCGAAAATGACATTTCCAGAACAAATGACCATAACTACACTTCTAAAAGGGGAAAATTAATAATCTTTTTTCTCAAAGTAATGATAAACCTGTGTGTTGGATGTAGAAAAGTCAGAATCAATATAGATGTTTTTTATTTTAAAGAAAATTCAGATTGAACATAGTAAAAAAACTGTAAATGATAGTGTCCGTCCAAAAATTATATTTTACTTATAGTGAAAACTACCCTTGGATGATGGGTTAGTAGACTAAAAGCTTTACGAATCCAAAGTACAACATATAATAAGTACCCTGTATCAAGATTGATGAAAAACAAGTGATATTTGACCTTTTTAGAGAGGTTTAGCAAAAAGAACTCCACCTCTGGGGTCATTTGGGTGGAAAGGGGCATTTTTGCCGTTTATCTGGAACCCATTGGTCGTTTTTGATGATTGACATCTCTTTTGAACTGTTAGAGCCAATAGAATCGAAGGGGAATTTCCACATACACCAACGTTACCATTGAGAAGTGGGGACTATGCGCACGCAGTTTGCCAAAAGCAAAACCTATCTTACGCTCTGAAATCTGAAAACTTAAAACTAGGTTTATTGCTGATGGATTATCAGAAATCATTTCAAAGTGACACAGACACATTGGATTAACCTATGGATTAACCTTCAGCAGCGTTGTTATCGTTTTAATGCCATTGAAGACAACTTTTGATCAGACAACAACAGAGGTAAGACATATTGCCGTGTTTGCTACCTAGCGCCACGTGTTGTGATGTCTGTTTTTGTTTCTAATGTCGCGAGTTCTGATCATGGAGTGATGATATAGATACCTGTTATACCGTGAGTTCTGTACCAACGGCGTTAGCATTTTTTCGCTCAGGGCTAATTCAGAGGCTCAGCGTTGGCCTTGTGTTTCTTCCCGTTACATGGATATGAAACATTCATAGTTTATTAAATCTTAAGAAGCCCTCAGACACTGTTGCTTGCAGATGTTGTGGTTTCGGACCCGCCGAAGGGTCTGTGGGGCTTAAGAGGTTTTAAAAAGATACTGTTAAAATTATTATTATTTGTTTCTTTTAAGTTCAATAAATGGATGTTTTCAAAGTCAATGAATAATCATATTTAATAATCGTGATATCAGTATTGACCAAAATAATCGTGATTATGATTTTTCCCATAATCGAGCAGCCCTAACACAACCTTAACTATGACAAAATATACATTTAAAATAACATATTGGTTGATTAAACTTTTTCACGTCAAAAACAAATCAAAAAGTAACCTTTGAGGACAAGCACTGTGGGAGATATATGGGATTAGCTTTGTGTCATTAAGATAAAGGAACACTTTCTCAGAATCAAGCAAAACTAAGAGTTTAAGAGAAAAAAAACTGAGTCAAACAAAATCAAATTAATTTCAAAAATAAAACTACAAGTTGCAAACAAATCATTTGTGTAATCATGTAAACTATAAGTATTTTTTCTTTGTTTTAACATAGGTTTTTGTTTGCAGTTCTTGTTTCTTCTTTCTCAATGATCAGACTTTTGCTCTCGCTGCAGCTCTCTCGTTTGCGCTCCTTCATTTTTTGTTTTCGATTCTGACACAAACATCCCAGGTGGGCGGGACTTTCAGGGGTGCGTCCCCATTGGCTACTCAGTTTTTGAGTGACAGCCCAGTCCTCCGGCGATTGTACAGTGCAGCTGCATACATAGCTGAGCACGGACAAAAGACCCCCAGAAGAACCAGCATTTCAATTATTACAATACAAGTGAAAATATATGTAAGTATTGATCATTTGTGTTGTTTGTGCTGTACTATACGGTCTGTTTCTTTATTGTGTTAAGTGAGAAGAAAAGCTGTGCTATGAAAGTTAGCTTTTGCTAACTTTAGATCCATAACAATGCAAGCTAAGTAGCCTAAAGCCCCTGACACACCAACCTGATTTTGGGAGTCAGAGGCCGTCAGAGGCAGTCGGGCATTCGCGGCGCCCTACTCAGGTTGGTGTGTCCCGCACCGTTGTCTCTTTACGGCACATTTTCACACCTCCCGCGGCCGATTCAACATGTTGAATCGGTAGACAGTCGGCCAAAGAAAGTCGGCCAAAGAAATCACTCTGATTGGCTGTTCAGCTTAGCGAATCAGTGCATGAGAAAACTTTGGCGGGGACATTTTCTGTTCTGAGTTTGATCTAATCTGTCAAAATGACGGACGGCTTTCAGATATTTCCGTCATTGTTAAAAAAAAAACGTCATAGACGGAAAATATTCGGTTAACGCGACCTCTGACCCTATCCCACTGAAAAGGCACCGACACCGTTAAAATATTGGTCAGAATCAAAAACAAAAAATGAAGGAGCGCAAACGAGAAGAGCTGCAGCGAGAGCAAAAGTCTGATCGTTGAGAAAGAAGCAAAGAGAACTGCAAACAAAAAGATATGTTAAAACAAAGAAAAAATACTTATAGTTTACATGATTACACAAATGATTTGTTTGCAACTTATAGTTTTATTTTTTTAATTAATTTTATTTTGTTTGACTCAGTTTTTTTTTCTCTTAAACTCTTAGTTTTGCTTGATTCTGAGAAAGTGTTGCTTTATCTTTATGACACAAAACTAATCCCATAGGGATGCACATTCATTTTTTGATTAACTTATCAAAACATATAATGGGAAAGAAGCGTGAATGAACAAATTAATTAATACATTTAGTCAAGTCTTTTCTAAAGTTTTCTAATATCTCTTGTTCAGAGGTTGATGTAGTTGCTTTATATGTTACAATGCTGTTAATAAGAAGCATCACAAGTGATTGTCAGTTAATGTTGTCTCTCAGAAGCTCTGGAGCATAACTTTAAAGTGTGTTTACAGACAAGTGCTCAAGTTTTTGGAAAAAAGTCCTCATAAAAAAGCCTGAAAGGTGACCAACAGACCAAGGACATCTGAGTCTTCTAAGAGCACAATGACCAGTCCATTTATTTAGATGGGGCCGCCCTTCTTAAGTAGTTTACAATTCACTGAGAACTACTAAGAAGCAGCAACAAAGAGCTGAAGCACACTATGGAAACATTCAGTCAGCAATATTAATTACAAAAAGGTTAAATAACCTGATAACATTATTAACGCTACTTTCAGTCTGCAATCATGTGTGTGGCTTTTAGAAAGAATACGTGACCTCAAGGATAGATGTCAGCAGTCAAAACACAGAAGATACTAAAACTAATATACAATATTATCTAAAGGACGGACATAAACATAATAAAAACACATTTTTGAGTAGAGCGGATCTTTAAGGATTAAAACTTGAAGCCAAAGCGGTGTTTTTCTAGATTACACATGTTTAGCAAACGCTTTTCATTCAACATAAAAAAGGGTCCAATCAAAATGTGTTTTAGAGCGTCACCTGTGGCTGTGTGCAGGGTGGAGGCCCTGGGAGGAGCAAGGAGTGGGGTCGGTGCTGAGCTGGGTCCTGGAGCCGGGGCCACAACCAGGGGAGCAGGCAGCGAGGCTTTGATAGGGGGAGGGAGGGAAGCCTTCAGCGTGGAGGGGCCCAACAGTGGGGGGTTAGAGGTGCTGGGGCTGCTGTCTGCGCTCTCCTCTGTCCTCCCTGTTTTACTCTTCACACAGGAGGAGGAAGAGGAAGAGGAGGAGGAGGAGGAGCCTCCCTGAGCAGCAGGACGCAGCACTGGGGGCAAACAGGAAGTCCACTGTGAGACACTGAACTGTGATACTCTTTATTTACATGCAAACACATAGAGCTGCAGACGGGAAAATATGGTTAGATTAGTCTAAAAATTAATGAATCCACACAGAAGGATTCACAAATGTAATTTATATATATAAAAAAAAGTCAATGTATACACAAATCCACATATATAAAAATACGTTTCACAAATATATTTCTGATCCATACATTCTTTTTTTTTTTTTAAATAAACGTAATATTAATCCACAAATATATGTAAGTGTTTAATGTTTCCATCTAAAACATATTTAAATGTAATTACCTTTATATAAAAAATGCTTTTTGTGCATGAATCTCTCTGCATTTGTGTGTGGATTTTTGAGACAACGCCATCAGATTGACAAATGCATTATTTTCAACAGGAAACTGTTTGTAGCCAATCAGATGTCTCCTTCATTTTTAGCCAATGACATGAGCGCGACCCTACGACGGTGTGGTTTATGCGTTCAGGACGTAGCGTAACATCTACACATTCTGCATAGTAAATAGGGGGAATATTTCATTTTTTTTCAAAGCCTGTGTTGTGTCTCACTGCAGATACTCCCCTACACTGCCTTGTCATTCTCTGTGAACACTTACATACTGTTTTGACCCTGAAGTTCTATTTCGCATTGCACATGGCGTCTGCCGATCGCCGCTGTTAGCTAAAAACGATCAAATGCATTACCAAACATTATAGACGGCTTCAATATCCCAATTAACCTAATGGTGGCTTGTTTTTTAGTTTAGTGGTAGGTTGCTTAAATAGCAACAATGTATAACTTTTATCTGGATAGCATGTGTTCACTGGAGCAGCATCAATGGAGGCTGGTTCCACAACTTTTTTAGAAACATATATTATATATCTATTTAAATGGAATAAACATGAGGTTGTATTTTGAAAAAACTCCATGTTTGGACAAACTAAGTCAACTAGAAAATGCATTTCCTGCAGAAAATGCGTGCGAATGCTGTAAACTGTGAACATTTGTGGCTGAATTTAGCTGAAAATGCAGAAAAAGCTGAATATGTTATTAGCTGAATGGTAGCTGCTTTTAGCTACAAAAATGCAGAAAAAGCTTAATATTTAAAAGAAAAGGTTTTTAAAAAGGTATAAACAACAACATGTATAGCCTTGATGTCCTGAAATAGCTGAATAATGTAATAGTTGAATGGTTTCTGCAGCTGAAAATAGGCTGAAGGAGTTAAATATCAGATGTAAGTAGTAGTGAATGCATTTGTATTAAGATGAGAAAAGAAAGTAAAAAGGCTTGGGAAAGCAGCAGAATATTTGAACTGCAAACTTTTGAACTAACTTGATGGTGAATTATCTGTCGCCATGGCAACGACATTTGATGACACCCCATAATACGCTTAGATGTGTTGATGGCTGCATCGTTACCAAACCTGTGAAGTTTTGGGCCATTTCGAGCATTTTCACTGAAGTTATGAGAAAACCGTGTTTCATGGTGAGCATTGTGTTGCCATGGCAACGGCATTTGAAGAAATCCCAAAACTGTCCTGTAGATGTCTTCACGGCTGGACTGTTAGCACACATGTGAAGTTTGAGCACTTTTTGCACATTTTCATAGGAGTTATACATTACATTAGGAGGTTACATTACTCTCTCTCTTGTCTTGATCGCCCTCTCTCTTCTCTTGATCACCCTCTCAATCTTCTATCGCCCTCTCTCTCTTCTCTTGATCGCCCTCTCTCTCTTCTCTTGATCACCCTCTCACTCTTCTATCACCCTCTCTCCCTTCTCTTGATCGCCCTCTCTCTCTTCTCTTGATCGCCCTCTCTCTCTTCTCTTGATTACCCTCTCACTCTTCTATCACCCTGTCTCTCTTCTCTTGATCACCCTCTCACTCTATCACCCTCTCTCTCTTCTCTTGATCGCCCTCTCTTCTCTTGATCGCCCTCTCTCTCGCCTCTTGATCTCCCTCTCTCTTCTTTTGATCACCCTCTCAATCTTCTATCGCCCTCTCTCTCTTCTCTTGATCGCTCTCTCTCTCTTCTCTTGATCACCCTCTCACTCTTCTATCACCCTCTCTCCCTTCACTTGATCGCCCTCTCTCTCTTCTCTTGATCGCCCTCTCTCTCTTCTCTTGATCACCCTCTCACTCTTCTATCACCCTCTCTCTCTTCTCTTGATCACCCTCTCACTCTTCTATCACCCTCTCTCTCTTCTCTTGATCGCCCTCTCTTCTCTTGATCGCCCTCTCTCTCTTCTCTTGATCGCCCTCTCTCTCTTCTCTTGATCACTTATGTTAAGAATAAGTTCAGTGTAACCACATTGGTTTCCAAATCTATCAGTAAGCAATTCGAATTTTTAGCCTTAAATATAGAAGTGGCAAAGGGTCAACTGGTCATGGTGGTGGGCTGTTACAGACCCCCCTCAGCTGTCAAGGACTCCTTGTCTTCGCTAGCAAATCTTTTATCGCAACTAGACTATAAGGAAATAGTGCTACTTGGTGATTTTAACTGGGACTGGTTAACTGCAGTATCAGAGGATTTAAAAAACCTTTGTATCTCTTTGAATATTACTCAGATTGTTGACAGTCCTACTCGCCCTAACATTAAGTCCCCTAATAAATCCTCCCTAATTGATCTCATTCTAACTAATGTTCGCTATAAATACTCATCTGTGGGAGTATTTGCGAATGATGTGAGTGACCACTGTGCTGTAAACACAATTAGGGACACTAAGGTCCAAAAGGTTAAACCTCGTATTATCATTAAGAGAGACATAAAACATTTTGTGGAGCAGGGTTTTGTACATGATCTGTTTGGGTTTGATTGGGGGAAAATCGATCTGTGTGCTGATGTAGAAACTGCATGGTCTTATTTTCATCTTGGTTTTATGGAGATCATTGATAGACATGCACCCCTAAGTAAATTTAGAGTAAAGGGACGAGACAATCCTTGGTTTTCTGCTGAACTGTCTAGTCTCCTACATGAGAGAAACAAGGCCTGGGCAAAGGCTAGGAAATCAGGCTCAGAGGTAGAATGGCTGCGTTTTAGGCAACTAAGGAATAGCTTCACTTCACATGTAAAAAGTGCTAAGTCGAAGTACTATTTGTCAGTTACCACAGAAAACCTAAATAATCCTAGGAAATTTTGGAAAGCCATAAAATCGATATCCACCGGTGAGATCCGAAATGAGCTACCTCCTTGCCTTACCACAGCATCTGGCACTATATCGGACAGGGCTACTATGCTAAATTGTTTTAATGAGCATTTTGTGTCCCGCGGTTCTATGTTTGATTCTGTCACTAACTCTGTTTCTGTGAACACCTCAATCCGTGACTCTGAACAATGTGGTTTGGAAAACCCTTTCAGTTTTACTCCTTTTACTGTAAATGTTGTTCATAAAGCATTATCTAAGTTAGATCCTAAGAAACCGGCTGGCCCGGACAACGTAGAGCCTTTCTTTTTAAAGATAGCTGCAGATTGTATTGCTCCACCTCTCACTACACTTTTTAACCTCTCCCTCAGCACAAATGCAATTCCAAAAGTATGGAAGTCAGCTTATGTCTTGCCTTTGCTAAAAGGAGGGGAAGCAACTATTTTAAATAACTATAGGCCAATCTCTAAATTGTCAGTTCTGGCGAAGGTGCTCGAACGCCTAGTGAGTGAACAAGTAAAGGAGTTTTTATGTAAAAATGATATCCTGTCTAAACATCAGTCAGGCTTCAGAAAGAAACATAGCACCATCACTGCGACAATGAAAGTGGTGAATGACATTACGAGTATTTTAGATAATAAGCAGAGTTGTGCAGCCCTATTTATTGACCTTTCCAAAGCGTTTGACACCGTCGATCATCCCATCTTAAAGCACAGGCTACTCAGTATTGGCATATCCAGCCATGCAGTGGGGTGGTTTGTGAACTACCTCTCTGAAAGGTCCCAATGTGTTCACTTTGATGGGCTGTCTTCTGAGTGGTTGAACATTGCTAATGGTGTTCCTCAAGGTTCTGTTTTAGGTCCACTTTTATTCTCCATATATATCAATAGTTTAGGTGAAAATGTGGATGAAGCTACTTTACATTTTTATGCGGATGATACCGTGATGTACTGTGCAGGTCCCTCCATTAAGGAGGCGGTTGTTAAATTAAAGGCTGTTTTTAACATTATTCAGACTCAGCTCGCTGAGCTTAACCTGTTAAGCACCAAGCCTGTTTTTCATGTTTCAGGCTCGAAAATGACATGCCCAAAACAAATGACTACAACCTAACTTCTAAAAGGGTTATATGAATAATTTCTTTTATCAAAGCAAGGTTACATCTGTGAGTTGGGTGTAGAAGTGTCAGAATCAATATAAATGTTTTTTATTTTAAAGAAAATTCAGATTTTACATAGTAAAAAACTGTAAATTATAGTGTCCGTCCAAAATTATTTTTTACAGATAATGAAAACTACCCTTGGATGATGGGTTAGTAGACTAAAAGCTTTAGGAATCCAAAGTACAACATATAATAAGTACCCTGTATCAAGATTGATGCAAAACAAGTGACATTTGACCTTTTTAGAGAGATTTAGCCAAAACCACCCTACCTCTGAGGTGATTTGGGTGAAAATGGTTTTTTTTCATATCTCTGGCCCCCCTTGCTCGATTTTGATGGTTGACACCTCTTTCTGACCGTTAGAGCCAATAGAATCGAAGGGGGAGGCCCACATACACACTCATTGTAAAGAGAAAAGGTGGGGGCTTTGCGCATGTAAATGCAGGGCAGAGTGTGAGCTATCTCTCCCTCTGGCATTTGGAAACTAAAAAGCAGTTTTATTGCTTATGGATTATCAGAAATAATTTCAAAGAGGGCACAGATACATTGGATGAACCTATGGATTAACTGCAGCATCGTTTTTTTATCGTTTTAATGCCATTGAAGACCAGTTTTGACCAAGGTAAGCCATGTTAGCGTTTCTAGCTACTTAGCTCCACATGTTATGATGTACGC